AAATGGTAACGTAAATAACAAGCCTGATTGCAGGTGAGAAGCTTGCAGTGAAGAAGCCATGGGAGAGTCCTGCGCAGCCCAGGCGAAGGAAGCGCTGGCAGAAATGGGTGTTCCACATACCTTCATTGCATGTTCGCATAGTGCTAGACCTCTAATAAACGTGCATAAGCGATGCAAGCGAGTTAAACTGACTCTAAATTCTAGAATTTGGAATTTAGCAATTTTATATCACCAATAGTGTCAAATTTTACAAATCTAAATTGTATTTATGAAGTGCTGTACAGATTAACTAGTAGAATAGTGTTTTTTGTATACACATCATCCATACAAAATGCTACACGCCGTATCAGATAATTGTTAGCAGTTAACAAAGTAGTCAATCAGGTTTGCAGGGTACTGCATGACCTTGGCAGCGCCTCTGGCTCAACCCTCACCAGCGAGACTGAGAAGGCGGGGCAAAGCAGGGCGTGTGACTGCGCGGCTGCCTGTGGCCGCAGGGCGCGCCGCCGCGCCACCACCGACCTGACGATGGCCAACCACACCTCCAACATGCACCACATGTGGCGGCGCATCGAGGAGCAGGACTCCCTCACGGAGAGGAAGAAGAACTTTCTGGACGCGCGCGTCTACCCCGTGCCGCAGAGGGCGCCCGGGAGGAGTGAGGTCTGCCAGGGGATCGCGTCGTGGCTTCCCAGAAACGGCAGGTGCAGTGCTTGACTGAAGCGAGTTTCATAAAAAAAGAAGAGAAGAGAGTTCATAGAATCATAGTTTTAGTTTGTATTTCTCGTTAGATTTCAATGAACCAATCACGACTCTGCTTTGCAAACGCAAAATAGGAAGCTGGCGGCTACCTCATTGCCTTGTTCTGTAAAAAATCACGATGATGAAGCGAGTTTTAGTTTCAGCATCACTATCAGTTTCAGTTTCCTTAGGTTCTCATGAAATAATTCATGGACAATGCTTTACTCGGGGAAAGTAGGGAGCTCCTGGCCTTGATATGTAAGAATTATTGATGATGATGATGGAGCGAGTTTAAAACGCCCTCTTGCGAGAAAATGAACAAACAACTGCAAATTATTGAGTTTTACACCGTTTTTGCCCAAGAGTATATTCGAAGTGAGTCAAGTTGATTCGCAAGCCGCTGTTTGCCGCTGTGCTGAGTTTTTTGCGGCGCGTTCTGTGCAATACTAGTAGTATGCGGCGCAGTGCCGCGCGTGCTAACTGCGTTGTGCTGTGCCGCTGAAGCACATAACAGTGCAGTTGCGCTGCGCTGCTTCGCGCTGCAGATTGGTACTGATCCATGTGCAGTGTATGCGTGTGTGCGGTGCTACGTTGCGCTGCTTTGTGATTTCGGCCAATGAGGCTGCACTTTTGCGCTGTGTCGAATTGTATTTATATCCAACAAGATCATCGTCTATCCAATGAACATTGCGTTACCCTGCCCGACCCCAGGGCAGCCCCAAGATATGAGCCTCGCTCAATTCCACCCATGCCCTGTGACATCCATAAAATTCGTTGTCGTTTGCAAAACGGATACAACTAGTGTTAGAGTGGTGTGTTTATTGTTAACACAGCTCTGATGATGGGTGCATTCTCAGAGATGAGAATGAACATATATTCACTAAGATATTATATGTTTTGCAGGACTCACGATGACGAGGGGAGGCCTGTCAGCCGGTGCAACCAGGAGTTCATTGAGCATCGCGAAGCAGGCAAGAAGAGTCTCTTCTTAAAACTGTGTCCGGGGAACACAGTTTTGGGAAAATGTGGCACAAGGCTTACGATTTTGAAAGTCCAGTACTATTTGTCGTACTACAATGCAGGATCAATTTAAGTACTGTAACGTAGTACTGCATTAGGTACTTCAACATAGCACTGTATTGAGTACCATAATATAGGGCTGCATTGTGCCACTTTTCCCGTGTGGGTGGATCTCACCAGGCAGAATTGCCTGTCGCACATTGTGCTATGCATTGCGCAGTGCACAGCCCACGGTGACGTACTGTCCACGCAACAACATACACACGGTATTTGTTGAGGGGCTATCTGACATCAGATCATCGATGTTGAGATCTAGCCTGAGTTCCTTGTGTGCACGGCGCCCAGATGAGGAGCTCTGGCAAAACGCGATGGGAGATGAATGTCCAAGGTGAGCTTCAGGAATTCAGGAAATTCCAGCGCTCGCAACCAGTTGCAACATTTCTTGCTTGTACGCAATGTGCATTGGCTTATGTGCCCTCAATGCAGTGCTGCCGTTAAGTACTGCATGCATCGACGCAAAGGCTCGTGCCTTGAAGGTGAAGAGGGACGGGACTCGCGTTCCTAGCGTCACGTTGACTGAAAGCGTGGCAAAATTGGCATTGAACCTTCTCTCACATGTTGAACGTCGTTGAACCCAGAATCCAACAATTAGCTCAGTGTTAAGGCTTTCCAATTAAACTCAAGAAATGCCCTTTGCATTTAACTAAATCCAAGCATTTAGACGCCAGCTCCACATTTTGCTCCAGAAAAGCAAATGGCTGTGAGCAATACCTATGCGAGTTTTTGATTGCTGTCCATGTAATGTACTCTTTTCCATTTCCTGACGCCATGTTTTGGATTTAATGATGCCGTCTGTTTGCATCTGTATCCACCATATCTGCCTAACCGTGACGGCGGCGACGAATGTCCACTCTGCGCGAAACGGTGAACCCTTTTCCACAAACTTCCGATACCTTTCATTTCCAGACATGAGGTCGTGAATGTCACGAAGGTCATGAACGTCATTTCGGGTTTAGTGTGTTTTAGTGTGTTTAGACTCTAGGGTTTTAGGTCCCTGGTACCCTTCATGACCTACATGACCCCTTCATATTCGGTAATGATAGGGATTGGACAGTCCTTCCCTTTTCGACTGCGCTCCCTGACTGCTGTCCTCCCGCGTCGGCAGTACCGACCCCCTGTACAGGGCCTTCCGGGAGGCCCTGCTGGGCGACATCGTGGCCAACCGGCTGTACGAGGAGGACAGGCTCAACAGGCTGTGGCGGCGGTACATGCGGCGTAACGCGGCCGAGCACCGGCCAACGCTCATGGCGGTCATACGCGACCTCAAGCACGAGCTCCGGACGAGCTGAAGGCCGCTGGCTGACCCATGTTCGGGACTCGGGGCCCAAAGAAACGGGAGGCGCGAATGCTCGTTCATTGAGCTTTGGAGCGTTGCGCTGTCGCCTGTTTGGGGTAGTGGGAAGGAGCGGGAAGCTGAGGGTTTGCACACCGTGGCGATCTGGCCACGCCGAACGGCGCCGGGGGGGGAGGGGGATCCCGCTGTGCCTCCGTTGTCTGGAGGCTGTCTGCGCCGAGAAATCCACGCTAAAGGCCTTGTGGTGCCCGCGGCATGCGGCATTCCCTGCCATAGTATCTGCTGTGCCAAAGGTCTGACACAGTGTGTCAGACATCCGCTCGTTATGTCTGTTGAAAGCTCACTTCTGGAAACACGTGTAGAAGGCGTCAAACATGGTGCACAGGAAGTAACGAAACGAGGGGTTGATGGGGTGGAGCGCCCCACGCCGTCTGCGAACTTCCCGGAGGGCGTTTAGGGTGTTTGTTAAGGGTGCTAAGAGTGGGCCCGAGGGTGGGGGTGATGTCCTCAGTTGCAAGACGACGAAAGGAGCGCTGTGCAGCGCTCCTGAGGTAGACACATGTAGAGCTAGTTCAACATCTTCGTGGTGGAAACAATGTCCATCGCTGTTGTCCACTGTGGCCCTTCCGGTGGCAGACTGCATGCAGGGCTGCGTGTTGGCCTACATGATCCTTCGATGCGCAAGGGTATGCCGAAAAGGAGCGTGGTGTTTGGCGGCAGAATCAGCCAGAGCTGCTCACGGTTGTCGTTGCAGACACTGGCCCGTGGCTGTGAGCGCACCGTGAGGTATCGTACAGAATCGTACAGAAGCTTTCGCAGATTTAGGAGGTGGGGTCATGCGCAACCTCCGGCGGAAATAGCAACTGGGCTGAGGAGCGGGCCGATTGGGCGGTTACGAAGGAGTAAAGGAAGACTCCATCACTTCTTCGTTGCGTCTGTTTCTGTGGTTTCGGTTTTCCACTTTTGTCTAGACTCGAGACTCCGGAGTTTTCAGGCGGTACATCGGCATGAAAACGACAAGCACCCGCGTGGGTAATGTTTTCCTCGCGGGGGAGTTTTTAGCCACTGAGCTTAGCCAGATTCAGGCCCCCGGCCGGCAGGTGATGGGCGAAACACTGCAGCGACGTGAAAGACAGCAATGAGTGACAAAAGAGTAAGGAGTAAGACAACAGGAAGGGTCATGTTCGCGAGCAAGCGCAACGATGCGCAAGCTTGGATCAGTCCTGTCGACCGCCCTTCTTTTCTCCGCCTCTAGTGTCACACCTGGCACGCCACGCAGCACGGGAGGTGCACCTAAAAGACGCGCTGCTGTAGCCAAAACTGATTTGGTATTATTAATGGGTGGACGCGTTAAGAGGTGATGAGAAGATAGGAACTGAATCAAGGACACTGAGGAACGGACTAGACATAGCGGACAGAATTCCTGCTGTCCCTTTGCTGCGCTGTAAAACGTTGCTGTGTACTGGAGCCTGCTGGTCCCAGTCAGGGGTGAGAATACATTAGTCCCTCTGTCTTTTCCGTGAGGATCACTTCTTCCGCTGACAAGGCCATTGTGGGTCAGTGGGTCAGTGGTTCAGGGTTCAGGGTGTCGAAACAAGAAGGCATCTTCACGGAAAAGACAGGGAGACTAATTTCGTGCCAGTCAGAGGGGCCCCTACCCCTCGACCCTCCCTGCCCTCGTCAGCCCCACAAGTGCAGCTCCCCTCCTTTGCCTATATCAACCTCAGCGCATGCAGCATCATCCATCAGTCGCGCCAGCATCTGCACTGGATTCCCGCGTCGCCCAGACGCTGCCTTCACCACCCACACTCCGAAACATGCGCACCGCCATCACCCACGTCCCCTCACAGCGCACCGCCCCCCACCGGGGGCCGCTCGGGCGCCAATGGCGCCCACCCCCTCCTCCCGCGTTCCGCACCTCCTCTTGGCCACCCTGCTGGCCTGCGCCCTGGCATCCGGATCGCATCGCGTCGCCTCGGCCGCCCCAAGCGGCCGGGCGTCGACTCCGCAGCGCGAAGCCCACCGCAATCCCATGGCGAGGCTGGCCGTCGAGTCGACCGTTGTGGATCCGATCGCCGGCCTGAAGCTGGAGGCCAACACGAGCCGCATCGCATCGTCCGGCCAGGTCGTGGAAGTCCGATTCTGCTGCCTGGCCTTCCCGTGGGTGGATGACTTTGTGGCGATCTACGCGCCGGCGGACGCGGACCCGGGAAAGACCGCGCCCGTTAAGGTCCGGTTCGCGACGGAGGCCGAGGGATACCTGGCGACCGGTTCGGGGACGCTGAGGTGGGTGCGGGCGACGCGGTGGGCTGCATGGGGAGGTCGGTGTCCAAATCCAATGATTACATTTGTCTCATGAACATGGCAAAACACTGCAAGGGGAGGTCGTCGTGGGGTGGGGAGGGGTGGGGGCGGCGCGGGAGCAGTGTTTGGCGGACTCAGATGCTTGGTTCATGTCTCTTGGGGCCTCGTGGGTGTGCCAGTTGGTGCAAGCAAGCTGGCCGAGGGGAAGGGAAATGATTTGTCATCGTCTTGGTGATATACAGTGCATAATGAGAAAAAACATGGATGATTGTGATAATGTCACTCTGCCGATAAGCACAATCATTGCGGATGCGAAATATGTTATCTTGCACTTGGAATCCGGGCAGTTTCTCCACGATGATTACTAGTCTTGTAGTGCCCCTCTGTCGCCGTTGGGTGTGGACATTCATCTGGATTGTTCATCACACATCACACAGCTTCAGGAATCGCGACTGAAAGTTCCTGCAAGCTGAGTAATTCCACGCAGACAGCTGACAAAAAAAATATTTAGAAATGAATTATCAATGGCAAGTTTATTGGAATAGCTGAATTGTTCAGTTGTTTATGTTGATCGTAATGGCAACACAATCTCCACATTTTTGTTCTCAACCAACAGCCTACACCGCCCTCTATTCATGGCCACCCAATGAGGTGCCCAAGGTTTGATCTCCAAAGTAGTGTTCCGATGGGCCTTCTTCAGGAACATATTCGCCACCCTCCACAAAATTTTATGTCAGTGAGCAGCAAAAATTGCTCTTCATGCCTGGAAGACTGATCCATGCAGTCTGGGGACCGGTGCATGTGCAGGTTTCAACTCTTTAATCACCGCACCAGTGTGCGAATCGCATTGTTGAGGGGGGGATGGGAGCACCCCAGGGTTGTGGCGTGGGGCCCTGAGGTGGCTGTGGAGAACGTCAATGAGCCCCTGCAAGGTCACCTGCACCTAACTGGAGATAACACGTGAGTGGGCTTGTTGGTAGTTGGGCAAGTTCCAATGTTTCTTGTGCTTATCTCTTGAAAATTGAAGTACTGCAGTGGTTGGCTTCGCCATCTGGCACTGCACTGGACGCTGCTTGTGCCAGTTGGCAGCAGGGGTGATCTACCATCAAAGCAGGCTGTCAACCCAATTCGTTTTGGTCACACTTTGGCTTTCCTGTTTCTACTGCTTTTCTTTGTATTCTATTGCTTTGCTTTCTTTTCCTCTTAAGAGTATCTGTTGCGTGATTTTATTCTTTGGAATATCTTTTCCACTGTCCCAACCAATCTCAGCAGGGCGTTGATGCCAGGATCGTGATTGTGTCATTCAGGGAGATGCTTGTGCAGTGGGTGACTAAAGACCAGGGCTCCCCTGTGGTCAAATGGGGACTGAGCTCTGGAGATCACAAGTTCCAGGCCTCTGCCAAGACTACCACTTACACGAGGAATGACATGTGTGGTGGACATGCCGCGACGGTGAGCTCCCACTGCTGCATGCACACATCATGCCATCCAGCTCATCGCTAGTCAGCGATCAATCTTTGGCACTCACACGTCAGTGTCATCACAGCATTTTGGGCACTCTGTGGCTCAGTTATTGAGCTCATTGTGTCAAAAAATGGGATCCTGGACTGCTTGCCTTTGTACCAAAAAGCGCCCAGTGAGCAGCTGTCTGGGTGTTGATGGTCCTTGTCGCCCCATGTTCCAGGTCGGGTGGATTGACCCAGGGCTCTTCCACACAGCGGTCATGACGGGGCTGGAACCGGGAAGGAGGTACTACTACACCTACGGTGACGAGGTGCACTTTTTCTGGCCCCTTCTAACAGGACTCATTATCAGGGATTGTATTGTGGAAACCAAATGGACTGCACAAACGGAATACCAAACAGTATTTGACAGAGTATGCTCAGTGGTCTAGTACAGGTAACCTGAGCATCTCATTCAAGCATAATAATGCTGATTAGAGAGAATGCTGCCCATTTCACCTCAGTCAGAAAATCAGCAACAAGGGAATACATGAGCTTGGGGCCCGTGAATGAGCTATGCAACCTCTCCTATGAAGGTTGTCAGTGAAGCATCATAGGGCGCCTTGTAGAAAATACAATGGTGAAGAATTGCTCCCAATGCAATGTTCAGCCCATGCCTAAGTATGATAACATTTATTATAATCATGTATTGGTAGCGTATTTTTTTATTTGGAGAACAATCATAAGTATTATTAATATATTGTAAATCGAGTGGGGCAAAAACTATGAGTTCAGCTGTGTTTTGGGTGCCATTTTCATCAGCTAGCAATTCTTTTTTTTGGGGGGGGGGGGGGCAAGAAGGGGCCCAACACCAGCTCGAGGTGGTGCTAGAAATAAGGTAGTCAGCAACCTTTGGTGTTGAACAAGCACTGCGTCTACAAATATAGTAGTAAATAAACGAGTAAATTGAGTGAATGGATGCATCGTGTGCAGAAATGGCAGTTTTGCTTGTGCTCAGGTCTATGGCTTCAGTGAGGAGAGTTCCTTCCTCGCTGCTCCAACAGTGGGCCCGAACACAAGTGTCAACTTCTTGGCCATCGCAGATTTGGGCCAAGCCGAGGAGGATGGCTCCACAGAGCCATGGCAGTACCGTGCTTCGCTCAACACCACCAGATGGTTGACTCAAGAGGTTGCCAAGAAGGAATACCAGCTGCTCGTGCACAATGGCGACATCAGTTATGCAATGTGAGTTGGGCTTTCGTGGGAATGCTGACAAATGATGGGACTGTGGTCCAGATTGGTGGTGACTGTTTCTTCTTGCCTTGAGGGCATGACCATGGTTCCGATGCACTTTGGCTGACAACAATGTCTGAAAACACTTCCTGGACATTGAAACCGTGGCCCCCGGAGGTTGTTTGACAGCTCTCATGCATTGAAAGTTTCAGTCAAGATTAAATTGGAATTTCGGCGTCAGAAACGACGGTCTGCTGAGTTTTGACTATGCCATACTGTGCGTTGCCATCACAGGGGTTTTGTGCCACAGTGGGACCACTACTTCGAGCAGATGAAGCCCATCATTACTCGTGTGCCCTACATGGTGCGTGTTGTACCCAGTTTCCGCATCTGTGATGTGTTATATTCCCTTCAGTAGTGTTGTTTCTATTTTGGTGAGGGGGCATGGACTGCAAGGGACGAATACCAATGTAAATGGTGTGCAGGTTCTGGTGGAGCTACTGACCTCTCACAGCCAAATCTGATGGCAGGGGCTTCACTTCACTGTGTGTAGCAAACCTTATCCCCTGAGTTCAATAAGCAACAAAAATATTGTGTGCGACAACAATTTGCTGTGTGGTTCACTACTGCTTTCAGCAATTCAATCAGCCCCTTATTCTCCCAGTACTTGGTGAATGTTCCAGAGTGCTAGGTAAATATACAAAAGCTGATGAAAGTGTTAATCTTCATACATAGTCTTCTCATCAGAATTCATCGATTGAGCGAACGGTAGTACCA